GTGCAGGCTACAAGAATAGGAAGCGAATCAGACAGAGCGAGAAACGTGCAGCGAGGTACTCACCAAAACGGTTTGTGTCCACGGATGTGCAGTCAGTAAAACAAATGGACGTTTCGAAGGTTAAAACAACCGTAAAACCAATGTTACAAAATAATGAAAGAGCTTGTTTATAGGTACACTACAAGCTAACAACAATGCTAACGCTAATAGTAAAACAGTTGTTACTTTACATATGCAAATAAGGACTTATCGTTTGCTTCACTGTAGTCCTGCAATCCGCTTAGATTCACAACGCCCACAGTTAACAGCAACTAATTTCCTGCTAAACTCCAGGTGTAGGATGAAAACGTAGTGCCAAGTGACAAATTGTAAGTGGATGAGTGTGTCATCCAACCGTTTTTAAAATACTGTTATTGTTGATGCAGAGACGGCTGCTCCTGCGACAACATTCCAGGAGTGACAGACACGAACATAAAACAAATTGCTGAGGCGCTCTAGAAGGCTATACTATACAGTGAGTTTCAATAAGTGGCTCCTCAGCTTTGTATTGGTGCTGAGTTACAGTGTAGGGTGGCACACATGATGTGGGTTTCGCAGAATCAAGTATGCGATAATCAGGTCACCTCGTAGTCTGCGATAGATTCCACTGAATACCCCCAATCGTTGCAGCCTCTCCTGGCTTGAAAAACGACGCATTCCGACTACTTTCTTAGATGCCCGACGTTGTGGCTGCTCCAGTGTATTAAGATCGTCTTTCAGCCATGGATGCCAGGCTGGAATTGCGTATTCCACATGGGGGGGGGGGCGAACATCCGCACTGAGCAATTGTCGAAATATGGAACTGTTTATTTGTCTAAACGCCCTTCGTAACAGCCCAAAGTGTTGCTTTCTAGTCTTTGAGGCCTTTTCGGATTGCCTGGAGTAACCCAAATCATCTTGATCCATGACACCTAAGTCACGTTCAACAGTTGGTTTTTGTAGTATATTCGTTCCAAGCCGGTATGAGTAGCTGCTCTGAAGTCAAGAGGAAAACACTTTGCATTTACTGCCGTTGAAATGCAGAAAGGTTTTGGTTGACCATTGACATATGGTATCCGGGTCACACTGAAACAGATGCTGGTCGGCGTTCATCTGGATGCTGCGCCAAATCTTGATATCATTGGCAAACATAAGGAAGTTTGAAACGATTCCCTGTGCAAGGTCATTAATAAATACCAAAAACGAATGTGGATCTAGTACTGAGCCTTGCCGCACACCACACTCGACTTGTTTGGGGTCCGATAAAGAGCTCCTAACTCTGACCATTAATTACCGTTGAAATAGAAAGTTGGGAATCCAGCTTAAAAGTAGTTCACCACTCCCGTAATGCTGGGGTTCGGAGAGTAGTATTCGATGGTCAAGACGATCGAAAGCCATAGAAAAATCCACGTAGATCCCAACAAGACCTTCTCCAGCGCCAGCTGACTCGGTCCAAACACTGCGTGCGATTAAGAAATTCGTTGTGCATAACCGCCGTTGACGGAAGCCGTGCTGCTCAGGCGTGACGACGTTATAGTTTTCCAGCTACCACACCAGTGCATCGGCAACTATGGATTCTATGAACTTGGAGAGTATAGAAAGAAAGGATACTGAGCGGTAGTTGGAGGGATTAGTTCTGCTTCCACCTTTGTAAATCGGGGTTATTATTTCAATCTTCCACATGGCCGGAACTTGCTCCTGGTCTAAGCATCGCTGGAAACACTGAGCTAAAGGTCCTGCCAGTTGGCAAACTGCTGCTTCCAGTGCCTCTAAACGAATGGTGTCGATACCTAGGGAGCTGTGTTTGCGTAGAGACGTCAGATTTTGCAACACAGCCTCCGCGGTAAGATCCATTTGGCCTAGTCCTGGCGAAGAGAAGACAAAGGTTGGAATATCGCTTGGTGGCAAAAACCTCTGAAACATGGGGGCATATTACACCCGCAGCGCGCTTGGTTCTTTCATAGCCGTTCTTTTTGGGCCATCGGCCTTCCTGAGTGGAGGAAATCCTTGCCTCACCTATTGTAGGCTATTGACGTGCTTGTACAGCAGTTTGTGTCTAGCAATGAAGGTTTTTGCGGTGTTCTGTGGATAGTCGGCTTTGTCTTTTTCTTAGCAATTAAGTGCAGCGGTTACATTGGGCTACGTAGTTGTCCCAAGTTTCTGGTGCTGGAGCTTCTCTGTACACTCGCCATGCTGCGTTGCGTACTGTCATCCATGTTCAGAGTTATGCTCCTAACGAAAGAAACTAAGTTGCACTTATTGCAAACTCTGTGTTGCGTACTGTCATCCGTCTTCGAATTATGCTCCCAAGGAAAAAAAATGAGTTGCACTTACTGAAAACTCTTATTACTGAAGCCTCTGAAATCAGCTGCTTGAAGTAGTTGACGAACTCGGGATAGTCGACTTCCGGGGGTTCTTCGGCAAGGAACAACCAAGTTGTAGCCCTGACGAGATGGGCTAATCGATCGTAGCTTGTGATGGTTCCCACAGTCTCATCATTCTCATTCCGATATTCCGCATAGCAGACGAAGATGAAACTGATGACTGCGTGATCACTGGGATTCAACGGGCAGTCTAAAACCAACACATCAATCATATGCTCCTCGTTGGTAAGCACAAGGAAAAGCACAGATGGTTTGTTACCTGTTCTGAACCGAGTTGGCAAAGTGATGTGATTGTAAAGTGAAACACGGGTTACGAAATCTTGTAGATCGGCTTTGAATTGTCCTCCGATCGTGGCAGGAGTTTCTAAACAAAGTACGTTGAAATCATTCATGATAAGTGAGTGTACTTTCGCTGTAAACTGCATCTTAAAGCAGCCGCTAGGTGGCGGTTGGTTTCGGGCGTAGAGTTAGGGTGTCGTTACAGCAAGCAAATAAGGCAAGCGTTTTTGCCTTTTAACTGCAAGCGGCACCAAAGGGAGTCGGGGAACTGCGAATCTGAATCCTCCACGTTTTTGCACTGTAAGTCGCTTCGGTAATACAGGATTACCCCTCCTCCTTCTGTGAGCCTATCGTTCCGAATCAGCGACATGCCCTTAGCGAAACTGAGTCCGTTATTCCCGTGTGCAACCACGTCTCGGTGATGCCAATGACAGCATATGACCCGGAAGCTTGGCGATCTTTCAGTTCGGCCAGTTTATTTAAAAGACCCTGAGCATTCGTATACAGAAGGCCAGTTTCTCGGTCACTAGGGACCCACAGAGGGCTAAAGGATTCAAGTGTGTGACAATGCCGACCGATGGGTAGGTAGTTACTCGTTTTTTGATGGGATAATGATACCTCGTCTGAAACTTGATTCGGCCAAAGTGCGTCCCATTCTAGGTTGAGACCTACTTTGGAGTCCATTAAAGCAGTAGTCAATTTACGCTTCTGTACATTTGTCGGTACGTTTGGAGCTTCAGATGCTTTGATATTTGAACTTTACAAAGCTTCTGTGACCATTAACGGAACTTCAGAAGGAAGCCTTTTCTGATTTCTCCCCCACTTATCCAAAACATCAGTTGCTTGTTGCTCTGACTGAACCAGAAGTTTTAGGATTCTAGGGTTGCATGCTCTATAAGTTGGTGAGCGAGGTACCCTGGTGCGCGATAGCGTCACAATATTAGTCAAAGAAAGTGTTTCACGAATGAACCACCGCTGTACCAAATCGTGCTTTCCGGTCTCTTGAACATCGTTAGAAGGATGTTCTGACACGCCATGTATAAAGATTCTGTTTAGGCGGTCTTGCTTGCTATGTTCCTCTTTGGTGTTTCTTTATGATTGTCGCGCCCTCCAAGGGACATCAGGGTAGATGCGTATCCCACAGGATGGGTGTCTTAGCGCACTTGCGGTGAGTGAAGCGTTTTCTGCGTCGGTGGAGGATTCTAGTGTTACTCGAAAATGTCGGGGTTCTCCATAGTGTGGTGAGTTCGGATGACGAGTAATTCCTAATAGGGTTATGGGCTTGGCTTTGACACTCATCAGCACGTACAATGAGTTCCATTGGTCTTGGTTGTTCGATAACTTACCATGCAATGTAATGGTGGTAGATGTACGGACATTTGAGCATATAATAATCCGGGCATTGTTGTTGGATCCCTTTTTCATTGAGGTACAAGGTAGGGTACTGGTTTGTCCAGACCTGCTGACAAGTGTTGATGGTTTAGAGTTTGTCCCTCTATTCGCAGTAACGATGTTTACAAGGGAAGAGGCTGCAACAGCGGCTTCTCAGCGGACATTTACACTAATCTCTGCATATGTAATTGATGTTCCGGTAGGCGTTGTCTCGACAAGACATTTGAGCTACAGGTACCGAGGGTTGATGTTCGGTTGCCTCATCCTTGTTAATGCTATATGTCAGGTCTAGTGGAAGTTGCTTAACCAGATGTTTCGAGTGGCGCCTGCTTTTCTTTGCCATGAGTACTGTTAGACTCTCGTAGGTACGGTCTGTTTCCGCCCATGCGTTCCACCAAAATTGAAAAAGACAACGGAGATGAGGAAGTCGCTGATTGCGGTTCAGGAGAAGCAGACTGCGCAGTATTCCATTGGTTAGAAGCCGCTACGCTTCCGTGGTGCATGCCCGCTTCCATTAAAGTAATCTGTTCGTTTATCCTCTGCTCGGCTTCTTTGGTCAACCTGTCGCAATTCTGAACTGGGATAAGCAAACACTTAACCAGTGTGATGGTGGAGCACGCAGTACAGTATCAAAGTGCACCTTGGGATCTACTTCGCTCTCGTACCTGTTGTTGGGACACGTTCGCACAGTTCCGGTGATACCATTCTAAACAGTGCGAGCAAGTCGGACTTATTTTAATTAAGCGATGACATTCTCCTAACCCGCAAATGCCTTTCTCTTGAAGCCTTTTTGGATTCGCATTTCTGCCATTCAACGTAGTGCAGTTACCTGAGCCAGTGGGTTGCTTGGCCTTCTGTACTTTCGCAGCGATGAGAGTGGCACACATTGGTCAGGTGAGCGCGGTGCTTGCAAGATCAAATGAGCGATCGTTGTGGTCGCGTGATCCGTGTGATGGATTATGCAGGCGCACTGGCTGACAAAGTCACAATAAATGGCGATTGACTGGAAACTGCAAACTGGATCTGAACACAGCGCTGAACACAGATTGAGAGACCACAAATTCTTTCACAGCTGTGTTATGAAAGGCCGGATTGGAATAAGCTTACACATTTCGGACTGCCTCGAGAATTCTGTATCGAATTGTGTCACACCGAAAATCAATCGGCTCCATGTGATTGAGTTACCCGCTTGCGCGTAATCACGGATGCCAGTGCAAACGGTTAGTGATGGCACGGACTTTAATCCTAGAAGATAATTCCACGTATTCTGAATCACTGTGTAGGGCTGGTACATCCGGTTCGAATGAGCGTACCGTGACAACGCTGCGAGAAGATGAAGCGAGGATATAGAGAAATAATCCAGATGAACCAGGAGCACGCACGTCACGCATGTGTGTGGATGACTCTGATCCTCTTAGTTGCGACAGTTGTTAAAGTAAGCCAAAGTAACTGACACCCGCAACGATTTCAGTCAGTAAAAGATAGCAGCAACGATAGTAGAAAGATTGGATATGTTGCTGGAATTTCCGTTATAGAACTTTGGATACAGTAAGCTCCATGTACAGTTAAGATTGCCACGGTAACCCGTGTGAGCGGGCACTACACTAAATAGCAGTAGTAATTGATGTCGTCTACCGAGCGGTCTCAAACATGTGTCCTCTGCGTTTCTCCATTTTAAATCTGCGGAGTTATTCTCACAGAGACTTACGTAATATCATTCGATTTGAGCTCCGCGAGCTCCTCAAACCACCGTTCAGCATTTGGATCTGCTATTCGCGGATTACCAGTAAACTTTGCTTTTGCAATTTCGAAGTCAACCGTGCTTAAATCTTATCGGATAATTTAATTTTTTTCTCGTCGCACAAGAACTGTTGTGGTCTTATTTTGAAGATCACTTTGAAAGTTACCTGAACATCTTACTACCCTTCCTTCTGCTCGCTGTACAAAGCGATAGTTTTTTGTAGAAAATAGAAGCCACGATTAAACTGCACAATAATCTGCCTCGACGGGGAATTGAAATAGGGATTTCCGGTCCGCTGCTCTACCAACTGAGCGACATAATCACAATACCGCCAATACCCTAAAAGCGATAGTTGTCACTTTGGTCCGCCCCTGGGAACAGCCACTGTCGTAATCAGACAGTATTTTCCAAGTCATCTAGCTTTGCCTCAATCCTACGCTGCATCGCTTTCTATCCACTTACCGGCTGGATAGACAGCAGGCACTTTGCCTATCTACCCTAAGAAACCTGTGACTCGTCTGGACGTGACACGTCTGACCCCTCCGACCTCAAAGCAGCGTCGATTGCTAAGCAACGCAAAGTGAAGCGAAGTCATACACGGTGCGTCACTATCTCTATCCTCTTGCTACCCCAGTTGTACTGTACACATCCAGTAAATCCATTCCATCTTGTTATTGTGGAATCTTTACACCTTATCACCACCATCTGCGGTCATTCCTAGTTCGCTGCCCCGTTCCTGACCGTGACCACATATATCAGTGGAATAATCCCATTATAAACTATTGGTAAATAGATAAATGAGAGATCTACAACCTAGATTCTGAACTCTCCTTTTCTAGCTGATCTCTTTTGGAAATGGTGCAAGCCACAATGACAAAGCGCACGCCCCAAATGGATATGGCCCATACAAAATTCACTTGCGACCTATGTGTAAAAAACTTTGTCGGGTTTAGTTTACATTAACTGTCAAAAAACGTACAATTCGGATTGTTTAGGGATGAGTACACTCGAAACTAGACAATACAGCAGCAAAACCGAGGCATTTTGGTTCTGCCAGTTGTGCAATTCCACCCCAGTTGTTAGTTGTGAAATCTTACTATAAAAATGGCGTGAAAGGTTAGCGGAAACGGTTGAGCGACTAATGAATGCTAACAACGCATCTGTGAAAGTAAACGATGCTACACTTGCATCTGAACAAACACCCACAAACTCCCCGTTTAGGCCGAAGAAGAGGGCCAGGCGTCCCAGCCTCACCACAGCGTCTCAGTCTCCAACGACCCCTAGACACATGACTCCACTAAGTGAAAAGTCGCTTAAAACCTACCCGCTTCTACCTTCTCCAAGGGTGTAATGACTAGTAAATCAGTTGACGTAACTAAAACACAAAACTTCAGCAAGCCCACGATAAAGGATAACTGGACATCCTATGCAGCGGTTGCTTTTAGGAAAACGCCGTCAAATACTCCTGTGACTCCACTTAACAGAGAGGGCAAAACCGTGCCTCAACCTGAATCGCCATCGTCAGTGCGGTTCACAAATCCAAAAAATAACCCAGTGCTGTTAATTCGCGAACCACAAGGCTGAATCCTGGTGCCTTAAGTCTTATGTGCACTAACGTTTCTGAAACCAAATCCAATACAATTAGGGGTAAACTGATAGATGATCGTAGTCAGAGGGATTCCATTTGTAGTGCCATCAGCATGCGAGCTGAATCCACTACGCTGAGCCGCATCGCACGACACCCAAACAACTTACACTATGGTAAGATTCGACTACTTCGAGTAACACTACACTACGCGGTAGAAACGGAATCCATTCTGCTCGCTGCAAATCGACACCATATAGCATCGAACGGAATATGTATCTTATCGTCTATTCTTGGAAAGAACGTTCAAAGAATATGAACAAACAACAGGGAAGTAGAAAACACGAGCTGGAAACAGTCATTATTCATGGAGTCCCCCAGTCTCAAGCTTCACCTCCTGAAGTAGCTCAGGCACATGACATGGAGCAATGGGGATACATTCGTGAGGCGCTGTCTTTAGAAATGTCGTTCTACCTCCCTAACAAGGATTCCCGTGTCATCAAATTACAGAGGGTGTGGTCCTAGGTTGTTGAATTGCATCTTACTCTCTGAGCTAAATTAACAGACAGTTCAAAAGAACTGGGGTAACTTCCAAAACATGCTGTCAACAGAAATTCGACTAAAAGCAGCAGGTTTACGACCAGAGGCTGCTATTTTGTCAACTGGGAGAACTGACTCGGTGGGAACACTCGTTGTTGCAGAGTTCGCCACAGAGACTGATCTGACAGCCGTCATAGTAACCGGCCAGACACCGCAGGAGGTGAGTGACCATCAGGATCATCATGAACCTGATCACATGGCGCAGAGAGTTATTCCAACTCATTCTATCGAACCAAAGACTATACAAAAAAGAGTAGCAGCCGACCTCAAGAGGAGCAGCTAAGTCTCCAACCTGTTGTTTACATCTACAAACAACCTTTCAACATATGGATCACTCAACCAGCGTGCTCTTTAAATTCAGCTTGTGAATCACTCTCCTGTTTTTATGCCAACGCGCAAGGTCTTTTAAGCAAACTGACAGAGCTACGCTTGCATAAGGCCTCGATGTCAAGGGACCTCGTTAGGATAACCGAGACCTGGTTGAATGAAGCGATCACTGATGCAGAAATCGCACTGCTCGGGATGTCTATTCTGCGCAACAATCGACCAAGTAGAGGAGGTGGAGTACTACTTTACTATCGCAGCGAACTACACCTTGATCTCCTCGATAATCCAGAGGTTTAGATTATCGATGCGCTTCGGTGCAGTCCTCAGCTAAGCTGTGAGGACGCATGATTGTTAGGTGTAGTTTATCGCTCTCCGTCAGTTAGTTTAGAAATGGACAACCGCCTAGCTTCCAAAATGAAGCCCATTATCTCACAGTCGTACAGCCACATTCTGTTGGCTGGTGATTTCAATATTCATACCATAGAAATACCAGCCTATAGCAACAAACACTTCAAACTGGAAGCGCCGGAGATAATTAGTGGACTACCACTCTACAATCACATCACATCTCTCACAAGCTTCAGGACGGGAAACAAACCGCGGGTCCTGGTTCTCGTATTCACCAATGAAGAGCTTATGATCGAAACGGTATCGATACAGAGTCCTTTGGGCCGTAGCGACCATGCAACACTCATGTTTAATTACATCTGTTATGCAGAGCATTCCGCAGAATAGACAGAGGAGTGTCAGCTCATTACGGATTACGGCGCTCTAATAAAACGTATAAATGCTACAAACTGGGCATTTCTAGCGGAACCATCCCCCGATGTCGCCCGGTCTTATTTTGCGCACCAATTCAACACGTTAGTAACTAGTGCTTCTAGGAAAAAACCTTCGCGAGCGAAGACAGGAAAATCATGTATACGCAGTAGGACACGGAAGTGTATCGTCACGAGGAAGTTACTCTGGTGAAGATACAAGGAGTCATCGAGTGCCGAAACATGGGAAGCTTACAAATTACAAAGGAATCCATGCGTAAACCTGGTACGCGAAGATAAAATACAGCATCAACAGGATCTGGCTGAGGAATTGCTTTTTAAACATATGTTTCTCTATGGACACTTTAATAAGCTCCGCAAAGTGCAGTGAGGAATTTCTGCTTTACACACTTTATGTGTACTTGCACAAGCCGTAGCCGAGGCGGCCAACAACCTATGTCAACAAATGGCCCCAAACTTCCAGAGCACGACATTGCCGCATACACTCTTCTTGCACGTTGTATCAACACCAGCACTTAACCACATCATGTTTACGACTGCAAACGTTGTGAAAAGGTTAATTACCCTGCGCGGACATGCCTCTCCCGGTGTTGTTAATATTCGTCTAAAGGCGTTGAAATTTGTTGTAGTAAACTAAATGGACCCACTCTCTAAGTTCTTCCAACAAGGTATCGATGAGATGCGAGTGCCATCAATATGGAAGCAGGGCATCGTCACTCCCATACATAAGAGAGGAAGTCGTACAGATCCGGTCGACTAGCGCCCGATAACACTATCTCCGGTGCTCTCCAAATCATGGAAGCGATTGTTGCCGAAGCGCGGATGAACTTCTTGGAGGAACGCAATATCATAGCACAAGAACAACATGGATTTCGCAAGAACCGATCTTGCAATTCAAACTTGCTACTTGCTAGATCCTGCTAGACTGAGATTGTCGACAGCGGCGTAGTTGTTTATGCAGTATACCTGGACATCTCAAAGGTCTTTGACCGTCTGAACCACCGTATCCTCCTTCACACGCTGCAATATTGTGGAATCGGTGACCCAATCCTCGGTTGCATAAGTAACTTCTTGCTTCAACGACATCTGAATGTAAGCGTTCGCGACGTCATCTCTGACCCAATCGACGTTAAATGAGGAGTGCCCCAGAGCTCAGTATTTGGTCCACGACTATTCCTGATTTACATAAACGATCTCGCGACGGTAATCATCTCGAACTCCTTACTCTTCGCTGATGATTTCAAGATATGGCGAGCCATTAGAACAACCAGCCACAATGCAGCACTTCAGGATGATCTTGACAGTGTCTACGAATGGTCGACTCAGAACCTGCTTCAATTCAACGCTACAAAGTGCAAAGTGTTGAGCATGCGCAATAAAACTACTTCCGAATACAGACTGGGTGATCAAATATTGCAGCGCACTTCAACGGAATGCGATCTAGACATGATAATGCAGGAACCTCTGGGATGTTCCCGTCAGGTCGAGAAATCCTCCAAAAAATCTAACCAAAACCTTGGCCTTTTGCGAAAGGCATTCAGGCGCTTCGATCCTTCCATATTTTCTCAGATGCTCAACGCCTACATTCAGCCTGATTCTGAGCACACCATCCAGGCCTGGCAGCCATGGTAAAAGCAAGACCTTACCACTCTTGATCTGCCACAACGAAGGGCGACCTTCATAAGTCTGAATAAACCTGATATGGTTTTACTCACTGAAACCTGGTGTCATGATTCTATGCCCAGCCAGCTGCTTTCTATCGAAGGTTATAAGCTTATTAGAAGTGATCGAAAACAAGGCAGAGGAGGTGGTTGCATAATTTACTACTCACAGTACCTCACTGTGTCTGAATTCACACTTCCACTTATATGCCCCACTATTGATTCCGCTTGGTTACTCTTTTCCTTTGGTACTAAGCGAATTCTTGTAGGCTGTATATACCACTCACCCGGGACCAGCCTCAGTGATGAGAACCAGTTGGTTGACATCTTCAATTACATATAAGGACCTTGGTTCCTTCGATAAAGTTGTAGGTGGAGATTTCAACCTACCAGATATCTGTTGGTCAAACTTAGTAACAAACGCGAAACATGCAGAGTTCATAACCTCCGTCATCACTGGTGGTTGGGAGCAACATGTTCTCGTGGCTACCAGGGGAAAAAATATATTAGACCTACTTTTTACCTCAGGCACCCAGATAGCTACTGATGTAATTGACGGTCTCCCTGGATGTGATCACAAAATAGTCAGATGTAAACTTATAGCTGAGTCGTCGCATGTGAGGTTTGCGATGGTTCCACACTTCCTGCGAAATATTAATTGGGTAGATTTCTCAGCTTTGCTTAGGGTCCAAAATTGGGACCATTTCTTTCTTTCGTCTGATATTAAGGGAGCCTCCGATATCTTCTATGACAATGTGGCTATGTGCTTAAGCATACTTGCCTCCTGTGATAATACGAGAGTCTCTTCTAAATACGCTAACAATGCAAAGGACAAGCGGAAAATTCGAGTGCTAAC